TGGCATCTTACAGTTCCAGATTCAAAAAAAAAGGGTCTAGGGTTTAGAGGAGGGATACTGGGGCAGTAGATCGGGGTCATATAATTAGGGAGAATGGAAAAGAACATGTAAGCTGTTGTTTAGGGTTTAGTGGTGAGGGTTTAGGGATTTCCCCAACCATGCAGAAGCATCTGGAAAATGACATGGGACAAATCAAGGAATCTTTGCAGGGCTTCTTGATTTTGGCTGACTGTCTAGTACAGCAGTCACCTAGTAGCCTGCTTTGTAAGATGCTGCTAGTGGGATAGGACAGAGATTTTGATTACGGGGCATTTGTCCCAGGTATGCTGAGATATGTTTGGCTTGTGGGCAGGAGCTCGGATAGTTGGATATGATCTTGAGGAAGCTCACATGGCAGTCCTATGCATACTAGGCTTTCACATTGCTACTCGCAAGCCTTCTGTTGCTCCAACCGCGGATTTGAGGGGGACTTGCAGGTTTGCGACTTGCGAGTAGATGCCAGTTCGCAGAGTTTTGCCGAACTGAGGGTTCAGGGTTGCAGGGTATTAGCTTGACCTCCCAGCAGGAGTCCTGCTCCTTTTCAGGGTTCAAGCAAAGCTCGATGGGGGAGCACAGCTCAACCTCGACTGACTTGAGTCTTGCTTGTCTAGCAGTAAAGGGCGCTTCTGGTCTCGTTTTCGGAGAAGCCTTGGAGTTGCTGCATGGCCCCTTTTTCTCACAGCTTTGAGACAGCATGTGGCTGAGGTACAGGGGAACATGTAGCAGGTTTGTAGCTGAGGTTCTGTTTGGCTTTGTGGGCCGTCTCACTTGGCAGAAGGGCGTGCGGCTCAGTCTAATGCACAACTACCGCTTTGTGGGGATGACGCAACCTCGTAGTACTTTGCACCTTCCGCATGCTCAGGCATCGACGTGCTTGCGCGGGTGGTTCCGTGGCTGCTGGGTGCTGGCATGCAGAGCTTTCCTGGGCGAGCGCAGCTTATCCTCATGGGCGAGGGCGAGCACCATGGCAAAATTCGCGATGCCGCCTATGACGGCTTCGCGTGTCTGATGCAGATGATTCGAGTATTCTTTCACTGCTGTTGTTGCAAAGCTGGCTGGTGCTGTATAAAGGGGCACCTGAGGCAGCAGTATCAGCACTTGCTGAAAGAGCTGGAGCTACGAAATCGTGGTCAAGTCTGCGGCTACACCAGTTGCCCGGCTTTCACAGACCCACAACAGAAAGGTATTTGCAGAGCCAATGTTTCAAGCAGAGCTCTAGATGGGTAGCTATCAGGTGGGTACACCCGCAGCACACCCACATAAACGCCATATAGCTCCACTACACCCATACAAGATTTCTATGAGCATCACTTGGGCTACCCACATGGTAACTATCCACTTGCACATGTTCACGAGTGTTGCGTAAAGCCGTGGTTCCTTCACGCTGCGAAGGCACACGTTCCTGTTTTCCATGAAGTTTGTTTTATGTGCAAGCGAGTTTTCGTTTGGAAAATTCTGGGTGTAGACAGCGAAACAAGAGTGCAAGCAATCACCAGCTGCCCAGCTTTTCCTGCTGGTGCGCTTGGTAGGCTTCAGCCCAATATTGGAACATCAGATGATGGCAGGCCCAGTTGTGAGTTGGAGCTGAGAGAAGTTTGTACAGCAGCTGACGCCGTGGGAGGCTGCGACTTCATCCTGATGCCGTCGCGGTATGAGCCATGTGGTCTGCCTCAGTCGGGGCCCTGACGGCTGTCCTGTCATTCTGAAAGACATGTATGCCCATGCTGGTCTACTCCAACTTGCTTGCCAGGTTAGCGGCCTCCCTCTATGGCGCAGTGCCTGTTGTGACAGCCACCGGAGGATTAAAGGACTCCATACGAGGTGGGGGGTTGCCTTGTTGATCGCTTGAGCGCATGAACGGGCTTGTGGCTTGATGCTGGTTTTTTTACTAGAGTTTGAGAAATGGAAACGCAGAAGCACGGAAATTTCATGCGTCTACCGTGTTTGGTAGCTCTGGCTGCCTTCTCGCCCAACATTCTGATTCCGATTGTTATTAGAATCATCATGATGACTCACCGCCTGCCCGTCCATGGACTCTGGAAGGCACCCAGGATGGCGACGCAGCGACTGGCTTCCTCATACAGCCGCCTGTGAGTGAGACAAGTCTACGGCAGGAGCTGGCTTGAAAGTCCTTTGCTGCCTGTAGTTTTTGCAAGTAGTATTGGCATCACTGACGTCAGCTCTATGTTTCCAGCTCTTGGGCTGTTCTTCTTGCAGTTCATATCTTTGCAGCGATCGGCGCAGCCACCCTTAGACAATCAAGTCTGAGGACGTGCACCTTGATACTGGTATCAAGGTCATGCTCACTAAGACGTGTTCATCAGTTGCCGTCACATGCTGCTGCGTTTGCAAGACCACGATATCGCAAATCATAGCAAATTGTATGAAAATCCAAGCCTCAGTGCCGGGGGCACACAGGCAGTAAGAGTATGCCCGCCCTTGCCCTTGCAACAAACCTCCCTGCTGTGCATTCTTCGCAGGCGCTCCGGGAGGCTCTGAACACTTTTTTTCATCAGCCAGGCCGGTTTCAGCCCCTCGGCCCTCGGTGCTTTCAGAAAGTGTCCAGAGTCCAGGAGCTGTTTTTTGTTTAAGACCTTCTTGATGCGTTCTTAGCGCTGACTGCGCCAGTGCGGATCTCGCACTGTGCTGATGCCAGTCTTTGTGGGATAAAAGATAGTTGATGATCTAGCCCGAGCAGCAGCAACCTGCAAGTTGTGTTGTTGCCGGTGAAGTTTTGCCTTGCACGTAAGGCAGATGCAGCGCAATGTGCCTGGACAGCAACTGCAATGGCCCAGCTCAAGAGTGTTGCCTTGTGCCATGCTCAGGCTATGTCCCAGCCATTTCGCTGGAGCCCAGCCATTGACGAATATCAGCAACAAATTTGTCTGGCTGTAGCAGCTCCCCCGCAGAAGCCGCTCTGAGTGGTTCCGAACCTGGAAGAAGCTCGGATCGCAGTGTGGGCCTCCCTCAGACTCCCTCACAATCTGTCGTCGTGATTCTGCCTTCTGGATTTCTGGGGTGGCCAAGGACTTCAAAGCAGACGCGTGCGCGCTGGAAGCAGGGTTCATCGTTTAAGCGTATCACAAATCTCTGAAGTTCTGCCATTCTGGCAAGGCTAACAAGCCAGACGAATGGCCCTGGGCCCTGGCCATGTTCCCAACAAAATGACGGGCATGTGTCATGCTGCAGACCAGGAGCAGAGAAGTTGCATTTGTTGGGTGCTGCTGGCCTTGGGTCTTCGCCCTTTTACAAAATCGTAGGGCCCGATGGTGGCTGAGCAAGCTGGCAAAATGGAGACATTGGTGGCTGAAGGTCTCGTAGATTTTCCACGATACTTTTCGTTGCGCAGCAGAGCCATTGTCGCCAAGGGGCCCTGCATGTTCCCATGGATTCATGTGAGGCACGGCTGCTGCTGCACTGCAGTGTCCGACGCTTTCGTTTCATTTCAGTGCGCGGCATCGAGCCTTAATGGCTCTGCCGCAGGATCACCGGGTTCAGGGTAGAAGCACACACCCTATTTGTTTATGTCATCTGCGCCGGACTGGTTTTTCAGCCATGTCAGAAGGATTTTTCGCTTCAGCAGCTTTCCCAGGCCCAGCTGGTCCTAGTGGACATCCCGTTTCAGTTCCGTTTTGGAAATCGGCCTGTTTTCTTGGCTGGAGAGCCCTATGGCAGCGCTGCCGGGGTAGTGCGGAGGTGAAGGCTGGGCCGGGCTTGTTTGCATGTCTTCCAATATCTTCCAAGATTTCAAGTCTATGTCATTGCTGCTCGGAGAATGTGCCCAGCCTTCAGCATCATATGTGGAAACATGCTTTGTCCGTGCAGAGCTCAGCGCAAGCGCTTGCCTGAAGCTCAAGCTCTGCCTCAGGATGATGCTTCCCGTGGAAGAGCAGTTCTTAGCCATGCTAAAGTGGCATGCTTGCTCCATGGCGCCCAGGCCCAGCGGTATCTGAGCTCGCTGCGTTCGAAGCACAGGAGCCAGAAGCAGAACCTGCCATGGGAACATCCATGGTTGGGCCAGGCCTCATTGCCGAGTGCATCCTATGGTGCCTATGATGTGGCAAAATGGTGCACCCCACATTCCTTGCATTTGAACTCGGAAGCTTCTCAGCTGACAGCGGTGAGAGGTCAAGTGTAAGAGATGCTCTAGTCGCAGCGGCAGATCGTCACGCTAAAAGGCTAAGAGAGCTAGTTTCGGGAGATAGGGACCTTGTTCTTTGGCAGGGACACGATAGCACAGGGAGCAGGCATTTGCTGAACGTTCACGTCAGCATCTCCGAGTTTGCAATTCGTTGAAGCTGAGGGGTCATGTCCTGAATAGGGGCCGGGACACCATAGACAGTGACACTACCAAAGTTTTCCACGGGACACCCTGCAAAAGGATAATCCAAATCCGTAATCAGTATTTGTTTGTATGATGTACCTTCTGCAGTGTAGCGCTCATTTGCTCGGACCTCAGAGATAGCGCGGAGTAATCAGTATTTGTTTCTTACCCTAGACAAAACCCTGAAGAGCTATGGGGTAATCTGAAACGCATCCCCCACCTGAAGAGACTGCTGTCCAGGCGTCAAGTTTTTAATAGCCCAAACTGATCTACGTGATCTCAGGCAAAAGCATGGAATAATCTTTGTGAAGACGTGTCACAGGTGCGGAAGGGCACTGAAGGCCGAGGCCGAGAAGCTGTCAATGCCTGAGCAAATACATCTGATGCGCTTGTTCTATGTTCACACGCATGCATCCGCTGCTAAGATAACCTTTTTTTACAGTGGCAAGTGCGAGATCTTGTTATTCTGTTCTTCCTTCATCTTGATTTGTATCCGCTTTAAGAGTGTTCCTGCTGCAGCTTAGTATCTTGGCGTTCCGAGCTCGAGGTTCGAAGTTGGCCAGCGTACCTCTACAAGCTGCCTGGGGCCGAGTGCAATTGCTTTGCGTTCTCCTGCTGGCTCGTGAGACGGCACAGTAGCTCACAAGCTCTACGTAAGTGACGCTGTTGAAAAGGCACTGGGGTTCATGGCCAACCAAAAGTTCGCGGTATGATAGGAATAGGTAGCATGTTATAAGCAACCTGGCAGGCTGAAGAAAGCGTTTGTGGAGGCGAAGGCTTCAAGGCAGTCTGCTGCATAGCTTTGGTGCTCATGGCCTTCAGCCTTGTGGGCAGCGAGAAACAAGAAGTATTGCAGGATCGACTTCTCTGCAGGAAGCGGTCACACTTCGACAGGTGCTTCCAGCATTAGCCCTTGCACGTGCTCGGAGTCGTGATTCAATCCTTCACATCATTTCTGAAGCGAATGGGCTGATGCGCAGGGGACTAGGGGCAAGCATGGGACGCATGGCCTATCCAGGGTTTGAGTTCCTGATTGCCTTTGCATTGCTTACTTGCCTTTCCTGATTGCCTAGCTGACACGACCTCTTGGCTCTGAAGGAACGTAGGCCCTCACAGATCTGCCCGGGCGCCCTTTGTGAACCCCTAAGCAACATGGTGGCGAAAGGATTGCAGCTCGTTCTTTCAAAGCTGTGTTGCGCAGGGCTAGAATCTAGAAGGTGCTCTGCAAGCTGCACAGAACAGAATCAACTTCTTTCAAGTTCCAAGGAAGCGAAAAGGCGCGGTCGCGGCCAAGAAGGTTGTGAGGGGCTCAGAGGGAGCACAGTCCGCGGAGCTTGTCGCTCAGTTGGGTCCTGAGAGCTCGCTGCTTAAACGCTGTGAGTTGAGCAGCATTGGTTCAACCACATTCTCGTGAAGTGCCCTGAACTAAGACTCTCAAGTTCACCGTGGATTGCCAGCAGCCAGCCGAAGACACCATCATTGAACCGAAGGACGCCCAGCAGACACAGCTGTGGCAAGGGGACATGTCCAAGATGCATGTGCCTCGCAGGACTTCGAGAAGTTCCTGACCAACCGGATCAAGGCAAGCAGGCAGTTGCTATAGTTGTTATGTGTCTTGGATTTGCTTGGTTGATGAGGTGGACGGAAAGACTGGCAACCTGGGTGAGAAGGCCTTGTCCCAGACCTCCCCTTGAGCGCAGTTGTATGCCCATAGAACGCCCGAACATTTTTGTCTTTTACGCAAGTCTAAGGGCAGTTGAGCTACAAGCAAGGTGAGCGTCCATCGCGAGAAGTCCAAGGTGCACGTGACAGCGGAGGCAATTGGGAACCTTCTGTTGCGACGAGTCGCTGAACCTAGTTGCTTCTCAGGCGCCCTTCTCCAAGCGATACTTGCGCCTTGGAAGCATCAAATGTTACCATGTTCCTGTGCGGATCCTGAACGTCCGCAGGAAGTATCTGGGGAAGAAGTACCTCAAGGCACTCATATCCCGTCAGAGCTCAACAGGAATAGATTTGTCATTCCTATGCCTGCAATGCCAGTCCCAGCAACTTCGAGACTTCCTCCGCATCGTGGCTCCGTCAAAGACCTCATATGAGATGCGCCGGGTGCCCAGTACTTGTCTCTTGAGATGGAGGCGCAGACTGAAGATGTGGCACCAAGAGGCCAGTGGGTGGTGGATGCTGGTAGGGAAGCCTGTCCACATTGTTAGGTTACTTCAACATCAACGATGACAAGGGTGAGGAGGACTAAACCACTGCATAGAGATGTGCACATGCGGATCATGCGGCAATGCGGCGGCAGCTTGTGAGGGCAAAAAGTGGGCTGCGCTTGCCATGCTTTGAATGCTTGGCTGTTTGCAGCACAAGCTGTGTGAGCCTGGTTGTGATCTGTTTGTTGTCTAGGTGCCTGACGCCGTCACAATGAGTACCAAGGCACGGAAGGGGCTGCAAGCTTGAAGTGAGGAGCGAAGCTGTTCCCAATGCATCGAATGCAGCCATCTGCAACTTCTCGCGGCTGTTTTTCAGGCAGTAGGATCCCTCACCTTAGCCTCGTTTCTAGCTCGTGAGCTGCTCAAAAATGGTGGCAAAGGGCCTGCCACACGACCGCAGAGCCGGGTGACATGAGACATGGAGGGTCTGCTTTAGAGCGGAGTGCAGTATGTATCCTGTCAGCTGAGGAAGAAGAAGGGTGGAACCCCGGCAAAAAAGGCCGCACTGCTCTCAGACCTTCGTCTTGGAGCCCTCTATAGCTGCAGTCTGCAAGGACAGATAGCCAACCTTACTGGTGATTGGTATGGAATGAGGGAATATAATCCGTATATAATCCCGTTAAACCCTAATCATTAAACCCTCAGCCCCGGCCCCAACCCCCCGTTTTTGCGGGGAAAACAAGGCCCGAACAAAATCCCTGCTGAGACTCTCAAGTTCACGGTGGACTGCCAGCAGCCCGCAGAAGACACGATCATCGAGCCCAAGGCTACTTCAACTGCGCAGTGCTTACCCTGTTAGGGTTAGGGTTATGTAGGGATTATGTAGGGGCTTCCACGGATTTTTAAGGGGTAAATGGGGCTGATATAGGGTTATAGAAGATTTCTAAAGGGGGCATGAAGCGCATGTTGAACTGTGAGATAGATGTGTTTTCCCTTCAGGACTTTGAGAAGTTCCTGACCAACAAGATCAAGGCACCTTGCTGCAGAACCTCCCTGCCAAAGCCACGCACCCTCCCCCACAGACCACACACACCCTACATATATCCTGGCAGAAGTACTTACTAGAGTCTACTAGAGCTGCACGTTCAATCCTGTGAGGTAGATGGCAAGACCGGCAACCTTGGTGACAAGGCCATGCATGTGTCAGGAAGAGCAAAGGACATGAGGGCAGACCTTTTCCATGCAGTTGAAAACACCAGCAAATGCCCCCAAGAGAAGCCCGAAACCGCAAAGCTCTCAACACGTACGTGACGGGACGATCAGGTTAGCATCCACAGAGAGAAGGCGAAAGTCCATGTCACTGCCGAGGCATGCATGTGGGGTATAGGCCGTTCGGTCGACACATTGCTTTGATGTATCGTTAGAGTTGTAATTGTCGTAGTTGCATTGGGTCACGGTCCTCGATCCCAGACTCGCTTCAACTGATTAGTTCTAGCTGGTAGAGGAGTCTTTGTTGTGCCGCATAAGGTTCTGTTAAGAAGTATTCCTTTTGCAGTACCACCCTTTTGCATGTGAAGGCCCCGTTCTCGAAGCGCTACCTGCTCCACAGCTGCACTGAAGCAGAGATCCACATAAGCTCTAGCTCTTTCTCCATGCGTCAGCAGTTGTTTGGTGTGAAGTTGGGTTTTCAAGTGCGCTGCGCAATTGGCAGCACCTCAAAATTGAGATGCGTGATGCACTGTGATGCGAAGCGATTTTTAGCATGCTTTCAGGAAGTATCTGGGCAAGAAGTACCTCAAGGCATCTTGCCCAAATAGCTTTTCTTGTGCAAGTGCTATGTGTGATCACGTGTGCTTTTGGTGAAGATGACATGCAGCCCGCTGTTAACCCCAGTCTCAACAGCTGCGGGACTTTCTTCGCATTGTGGCCCCGTCCAAGACTTCGTACGAGATGCGTGCTGGGCTTGGGGAGTGTGCTGTGAGTCTACTCGTCTACTGGAATTCTACTGAGACTTGCCCATGCTATGCAAGATTGGCAGGCTATTTCAACATCAATGATGATAAGGGCGAAGAGGACTGGCAAAAACCATGGCTTTCATCCGTCATCGAAAAAGTGGTCAATAATCAGGACTGATTCTCGTGGCTGGATAGCTTGGACGAAGCTGGGAGAGACTGCCTGCGGTGAAAACAGAAGATTTGCACTTATGCTGGAGACATCCGGAGGCAGGGGCCCCGTACAGCAAGCCTTGCAGGCAATTCGGACCCTGCGCTTCAATCTGGGCAGAGCGCTTCGTCGCAAGTAGGTGTCTAGGACCCCGGGCGGGATGGGAACAGGAACGCAAGACTAACTTGATGGATGGTACCTAGCCCGCTGATTTTCGTCAACTCTGCTTCGCAAGTGTTCCTAGAGCCATCCTGTGTGTACATAGCTATACATAGCCGTGATCCCACTCATGCGACGGACGGTTTGGGCCATACTGTGACAGACTGATCTCATGTCGGTTGCCCAGCAAATATTGCCATATGCCTGTTCTGGACCGTTTCTCGCAAGAGCGGGCTGCTCGTCCTGCAGCTGTCTTCGCGCTAGCGAGGCGGTGTCCATGCACTTGAGAGGAATTCGTGTCTTCCTGAAAGGGTTGGAGGGATGCTGCTCAGATTTGTGCAGCGTGCACTGCGATTGCTAGACATTGCAGAGCCTCGCAAGGGAAGACTTCTTAGACAGTTGATCAGAACAGCTTCCGGCAGCTGGCTCATGTGCAGGGCCACCCAGATGCTGCCCTGCACAAAAGCTCTGTCACCTGACCCCTCGTGGGCCACACCCTTCCCTGACACTCCGTACCATAAATTTACTGCCGCCACGGATCGCCACGGATGAGAAGAGACGTGGGCATGTTGAGACTTGGCCCGGAGTGCTCGCAACCGTGGTTTCCACCACAGCACTCCCCGCAGCCCTGCGAAGCAGGGGCTTTTGGGAGAGGTCTGGGTGTGCTCTTACCCGGATAGCGGTTTGAGGCATGCAGGTCTGCGGTATGGAAACAGAATCAAGAGGATATGTTGCCCCGAGAAGCCTGCCATCCGATCTTGCAAGGCCGCCTTTGAAACGCAGCCGCTCCGTCTCAAGCCTGCTTATGCAAGCAGCCCCCAACCCAACAAGTGGCAAATCTATCCCAACCTATCCCACATGCCATGCCTCCTGGTGACACAGGCTGCAGTAAATCCAGTCTCTGTTTCACCATGATTGACTTTCACAAACCAAGTGCTTGCTAGTTGTTCCTGTGTCATGGGCGTCGGGACGATGGGCTTGTTCAGCCTTGGCAGTGATGGTCAGATCCTGTCGCTGGGCTGCTGCCATGATAGCATGCTCAGTTTCCTCTCTAGTGCCCGCATTTCCAGTTATTGCTGGCACCGTTTCCCGTTTCAAGCCAACAAAAGCCTTCCAAATCCGATCAGATATTTGAAGCTTAGGTTGGCGCCCAAGCTTCGCCCTGCGTGGCCAGAGGCAGTGCCAAAAGAAGCAGAGTTTTGGTGGAGGTGTCCATGCAGCAAACCATCGTACAATGATTGAAGCCTCAGACCAGACAGAAAGCTTGCACATGCTTTCCCAAGTCTTTACACACCCATGTGCATCCACCATGACCCTCCTGAGGCTTTGTAACTCTGGCAAACTGCTTCCTGTCTGCACTTCTTGCATGTAATTGTGCGTTAGAGCTTGCCACATGTCCGGAGGGGCTGAGATTCAGCGGAGGCTTGGGACATCAGCGTCGTCCAGTGCAAGGCCGTCAAGCTGCTTGTCTGCAGCAGAAATGGAGCAGCCATGGAAGGCAGAGTGTGCGGTGCCATTCGTGCTTCCTGTACTGAAAGCACAGGCTTGGTCAAGTGTAGCTTGCACCGGCAAGGAATGCCTTCCTCATTCCAGGGCTTTGATCAGGCAGAGCCTTTGCTAAGATGCGCCACACCTTGCTCCATGGGATGTGTCTTGCAGGGCTACGGGGACCCCTTTGGAGGAGCGGCGCCTGGACAGGCAGGAGCTGCCTGCCAAGTCATGAGCCATGCATTGGGCCACTGTCAGGGCCCTTCAGATGATGACTACGATGCCACGTGCCTGACATCCACTGCTGCTTGCGGCAAGAGTGCGCTTGCTTTTCAAAACTGTTGCCCAGGTGGATGCTGATGATGACCCCGCAGCTGAGGAGGAGCGAGCTGAAAAAGAGGAGGCTGGTGAGCCAAGATAGGATCTTCCGTGCATGACGCGTGCAGCGCTGATGCAAGGTCCTGAATGACACCCTCGGCAAAGCGAAACAGGTAGGCTGCGCCATGCCGTGCTAGTGTTATTCAAACTCAAGTACTGGCGCCTCCTCAGCTAGCAGGTGATGGACGTCCTAAAGCCGCTGGGACAATGTTATACTTGTAGCGAGCACAAATCTATCTCGAGCAAAAGGTATCAGGTGTCCTGAGAGCTCAGTCAGTTTATGTCTTGAATGATCTGCGGCCATCCCAGGCGAGTGGACACGCAGATGGACGCTTCCAAGGCCCAGTGGTTGCTATGAGGTTCGGATGTGGTGAAATCTGCAATTGATAGAGAGAGAGCTCCGGTGTTTCAAGGGGTGATCATTCCAGGATCTTCCCCGTGCCTTTCATAGCCAATTATCCTGACATCTCAGAAGCTAGGCCCAGCTGGTGGAGATCGGTGCCAAGGCCTGGTAGCTTCGCGGCTTCTCGCACATTCTTTCAGTCAGCTAGCAGGGTTTCTCACAGGCCATCGACTTCAAGGCCCGGTTTCGCTTCCGAAGTGCAGCTTCTGCTGCAGTTTGGCTGCAGTTGGACAGTGAAGTCTCTGCTTCTCGAGTTCTGCTATGTAGGATGAAGAAGTACGCATCGCGACTGAGGCCAGCGCAGCAGCACAGCTGACGTCGCAGCCTGGCGAAGTCAACGACCGGCTGCGGGCCATCTCAGAGGCCCAAGCTATGTGGTAGTGTTTTACATTCTACAATTTCATTTACAATATTTTTTAGTATTAGCACATACATCCTTATGCTTCCAGCGTGGTGTGGAGACTTTGGGGCTGACATGTGCCGATATGCGGCCTGGCAGAGGAAGCCCAGAAGTTGGAAGACGAGATGGCCTACACGGCCACCGGGCGGCCCTTCCGCTACCGTATGCGACTTGTCAACCTGGCAGGCCTGGTGCTGAGAGGGCCGCAAAAAGGGGGAGCTAATCCGAATCTTCAGGGGCAATATGGGGATTTTCTAGGTGCATATAGGTGTGTATACATACAGGACATGCGGTGGTTATCTAGGGATATATAGGTAGGAAAGCACCTGTAGCCCACTTTGAGTTACTGTTGCAGATGTAATATACCCAGCTAGCTGTTGGGCAGGTGATGCTGAGCGTGCGGGCCAGCTGATGGAGACCCGGATCCAGAACCTGCAAGAGGCCCTGAGGCTCGGCCGGGTGGGGGTGATCAAAGTTTTTGTTAGCCGATGACTTCTCCCCGCTCAGAGGATACTCAAAAATGCTGGCGGAGAGTTTGTGGATGTCACCGACGTGGATGGAGAGCCCGGCGAGGGCGAGCAGGGAGACGTTGACGTTGAGGAGGATGAGTCCGACTCCGAGCTAGCCACATGCACTTGCCACAATGGGACTGTGGCGCAATCAGCTCGTCTTTGTAAACAGGTCTACGCCACTTCTGCCAGAAGTCCAAAGTGATGCTGTCGAAGTGGGGATGCACGAGCACGGGAGCGGTTGGCATTTGTAAGCAACACATGTTTGTGAGTGGGTGGACGGTTTTTTTCATACATGTGAATTTGGACAGAACTGCGCATGATTGCGCACATTCTCAAACTTATGTGGCGTTTTCCGGCCGCTCAGCAAGGACACCTCTTCCAGGTCAAGACCATGGACAACATCTCCAAGCACCTACGGGGTAGCTGGGCTGCTGATTGTTTCATGCACTCCCTCAAAAACATTGGGCGCTCTCTGCTCTCGTTAGCCTTGTCCTTGCTGGGATGCAGGATGGCGCACGGCCAACCTGAGCAGGTCATGCAGACATCGCTGCTTCCTGGTCGCACAAAGCTTCTTTGACTTGAGGCATCAAAGAGAGGGAACATGCTCCTGAGACTCATGGCTGAGGATGGCCGGCCCTAGCATGGGCATGGGCATGGGCATGGGCGGGCCAGGCATGGGTATGGGGCAATCGGGGTACCTCGGCTGCATCATGGCTTTGCGAAGAATTGCGAAGAGAAGTGACTTACACTGCACTCGAAGGATGGCTGGGCATGGACATTGGCATGGGCTCCTCAGTTGAATGTTCTGTTGAGATCGTTGAATAATGCCAGTTTCCATTTCATCTTCCGTTTCACTTTCCGTTTGATTCTCCACTATTTCCATATATACCCCTTTGAAAGCCTTTAAAGGGGCTGATGTTGTGGTCGTCTAGGTATGCTGGCGACCCTATGGAACAGGAAGCCCAACAGATGGCGGTGGAGGAGAAACTTGGACAGCACTGCCATGAATGTCTTTACCTAAGTCAGCACACAAAATGCTGGATGGCATCTGCTGCCAAGGCAAATGGAAGAGGCCGAGGTGAGCGGAAAGTGACTGCACCACATGTCTACAATTAAGTAACCACACAGATGAGTTAAGCATTGTTCTGCTCGCTTCTTCACTGCTGCACTGTGGGTGCATCGGATTGGCGCGCATGACAGACTACGGCGATGTCGGGGGTGACTGCCACGAAGGCAGACGAAGAGGTGGCATCCTGAGAAAGCAAATGAGACGTTCAGAGTATGTGATGTAGAGCCAGAAATGCAGGCAGATGGTAGAAATCCTTAACGTGAAGCTACCTGCTCTCATGTCCCCGAAGTCTGGCGATGTGGACTCCAAGCCGGGGAAGCTGCAAGAAGCTGGTAGTATGGCGAGAGCTGTCGGAGGAACCCCAAACTCGAACTTAGACATCTGGAGCATTCTAGGAGACTTCTTGTGCGCGAGACTGGTACAAGCATGGAGTCAATAGTATGCAAGGGTCCAATATCAGCAAGGACTCGCTCACCTTATTCAGGACTCACAGAGTGAGCGTTCCCTTGCATCAGCGTGATCTGAGGCCACTGCCAAAGACATGGAAGATGCCATGGAGGATTCTGAGCTGCTGTGCACTTCCACTCAACTACCGCTGCTTGCCACTGTCGCTGATACTTCCTCATAGCTTCTGGATGCAGACATGCGCATGATTTGGCCAGGACACCACTTGGTCTATCGATGTTCTTCCGGTTCCTCAGCCTTCCGACGTGGAACCTCAGGTGCCTCAAGCTTAAGACAGATTCAAGCGACGTGTGCTGGCATCTGGTCTGCGAAGGATCCCGCCCCAGCTGGCGTTCCGCCATTGCCTGTTGCTGAAACCTCCAGCGGGTGTCAGTGCCTTCCGGCTAGAAAGCGAGAAGAACCACTTGAGATGAAATTTGAGTCCAAGCTGACACATCTGGCCCTGTGCTCGGACAGAGGTGATCCCACAGCAAAGTGCGCTCTCCAGGGCCAGCCATTCACTTGGTGCAGGGTTGGCAGTGAACAGGCTCTCTGCTTTGCCTTAATGTATGTGATCTTAGAACTGGGATGAGCTGGGGGCGATATTGATCAGGAGCCCACATGTGCGAAGCTAGATGTGGCTGATGACCCCACTGGCCGTGATCATGCCCTGGGCGTGCAGGGCAGGCGAGGGTGATTTTATCAGATCTTGCAACACATTCCTATAGCAAGTGTCCGGGCAGTGAGTGAGAAAGCTGTTCCGTTGGAAGACTGTGTGCGCACTGGCCTGCAATGATTGCTAGGCAGTGGGACTACTGTCTCTTGGCTACACTGTGCCATGTTGGTCCTCCATCCAGCTCATTGATAGCACCAACCAGGCGTTCCCCCGATGCCGCTGAAGGAAGAGGAAGGCAGCGGGCATGGCCTCGTGCTAAGAAATTCGCAGCATTCATTCGACAGGGACAAGTTCACTGCAGTTTGTGTTACATCTCCTTACCAAGCCAATGATACCTTTTCTCAAGCCCTTTATAATAAGTTAGTTACCCAGCTCATTAGGGCCCACAGAGGATTTCTGGGGATCCCTTTTGGGATGGCAGAGCATCTTTGGCCAAGCCGCAGCTCTCAGGTCAAGGTGGCCAACCTCAGGAGTGGGACCAGCATGGTGAGGACCTCGGGCGAAGCCTTGACCATAGACATGTTGATTTATGTGGACCCGTGATTAATAACACCCTTCCTTTTCAGGGGATTAATATTAGGATCTCGATTCTAATCGTCATCATGCAGGCATTTGCGATGTTGCGTTCTTCCATGCCTGTTGCAGGTGGTGGGTACGATCAGGGCTTCGGCGGCTATGGTGCACCAGGCCAGACTCCCATTTTCTGCACTTCGTGGGCCTGGCCCTTTGCAGTGTCAAGGCCAAAACATGTGTCGCATCTGCCCAGTGTCTAAGGCATGACCACATATGACCCTCATACAGGTTGCTGTCTCAGTGGGAAGACGGCCTCTTTCAAAATTTGTGCATCTGTGAGATGTGCAAGCAGAGCAGATGGTAAGGAGCCCATTACGATCAGCCAGGCTGGGCGGGTTAACCAACACTACTCCGCAGATGTTGAGCCTGCGCAAGGCTACGATCAGCCAACAGAGCCAACTGAGGGTGAACACGGCTCCCTAGCTGTGACTATTGGCGTGGCTGCGTGAGCCTTGCAAAGTTAGCTGGTGCATTGCTGAGGTGAATCGGAAAAGGACAGACAGGGAATTGTTGCGTTTGCACACCCTGTGACTGCAAGAGAGCAATAAGAAGCTCTGCTGGAACTTGCAAGCGCAAACCCCCAGAGGACACGGTGCCAGAACAAGAATTGTTGCTTGGTGGCATGACTCTGATACGAGGCTGTCATAACTCCAGATCTGGACGTAGTGAATTTCATGCAGGATTGTCCAGTATCAGCAGGAACTAGATGCCAAGGACCTCTCACTTGGGATGCGAGTGTGCGCCACGCCCTGATGTACTGCAGCGGTACATGGACGACCCACTTTTCCACAACCTGGACACTTGGCTGCGTCAAAGCCATTTGGAAAGGAAGACACTTACTTTTGCATGTGCTGAGCGTCATTTTGGTTGTGCTGAAGTTTGGTATGGCACAATTGCCTGCAAGATAATTAGATGCACGATGCCAAGCGTCTCTTGCTGAAGACTTGACGGCTTCACCGCTCCAGAGAAACAAGGAGACCGGCGAAATTGATATCGAGAAGATCCCGTTCAAAGATCGAATAGCTGTCGAGGCCATGCAGAACTATATGGAGCTGCTTGGTAGCAGCTTGCTCTGCTCCATGGCCAGCCACGGACAGCAGCCCGAGCAGGGCCACGCCAAGGAATGGAGAGGACCTTTGTCAGCAGACTCCTCACAGTGGCGAATTCCTCGTGTGTCCGGTTGCCAAAGGCTGTGCCAGAGACTTGGTTGCTTCCCCAAACCTGAAACCCTAAACCGCTTTAGCAGAGCATTCCTGAGCCCTGCTTTGCCTCAGGCTGGTAGCAATGTTTCTGGCCCAGGCTCGAAGTTGACATGTCAACGCTGCTGTTACCTCACTTGAAAGCTCTTACAGGCGGAGCCCTGCCCAGTGGCTGGCCGCCTGGCCATGTTGAAGCATGAAAGACCCGCTGCGCTTGCAGCCTATGCTTGCAGTGGCAAATGCCAGGTGCGAGACATTGAGAGGCTAGGGGGAATGCGCCTGTGCCTGTAATGTCATTTTGAACTACTGTCACAGGTGCATAGGGTCCCGATGGTAGTTTTAATGCAAGCCTGTACACATACTGCAGTAAGCCTCCGTGTCCGTTAGCTATGAACCGTAATGTTTTAAGGTTTGCTGGGGTCAGCGGCAAGAGCTGGGACTTCTGCGCGCCGGCCGGGGCCTTTGAGATCATGGCAAAGTACAGTGTGGCTTGCTGCTTCCTTGTGGAACGTTGATGGCAGCCCGTTATGCTGTGATCGCCTGCAGTCCTCTCATGACTGGATTTGTATTGTCGAGCCAGGCAGCACAAGCAGGCGAACCCGAGGCGGAGGCTCGTTTGGGGGGCAACTCTCTTCGACTTGGCCGTTGGCAAAGCTACTGTATCAACTGATGGATGCTAGTGCTTTGCGTGTTGCGTGCCCAGCTCTTAGCTGTGGCAGGAAGTCGAGCAAGGCAGGCCGCCTAGTTCTGGGAAGCGAGCAGGAGGCAAGCCCACTGTTGCCTGTATGAGGTCCCTACGATGAGCAGCTTGGCCAGAATGGTGTTTGCTAGATCTGCACGACTCTGTCATTGCAATTCTTTCTGTAGCTCGCGCTCCCTCGTCGTTGGAAGCCATCACGCTGATGAACTTGGTCCAAGGACTGGCTATGACCAGTTTGGTGGGTATGACCAGACCGCGATGCAGTACCAGAGCATCCCGGAAGATGCGTGGCCAGCTCGGTTGCGGGAAAGCGTGCTGTGAGCATTTAACAGGCTCGTTGTGACTGTTGCCAAGGATCCTTCTGCTCTTGGTAGCAGTGGGCCGGATGCGGAAATCCAGGAAGAGTGCCAAAGTGAGCTCTTTCTTGTGAGGAGTGTGGCTGACTCGGTCAGGTGGCGATTGCATTTCAACGTTTAGCTTCTCTCCCCAGTACTGCAAACTCTAGACTCTCGATTGAGTTCACATGGCACGAGCCCAGCTGCATGCTGGCAGTGATAATGCGCTCCTGCACCATGAGAAGCACTGGATCTCTTTTCAGTGACTCTGGTTTTCAATTTCTTCCATGTTGGCTTCATGGGGCAGAAGGTGCCAAAGGCCACGGGCGACAGAAGTGGGCGTACCGCCACTTCTTGAGCCCATGACTTTGCACACAGATGGCGCGTGGCATCGTTTGGCGCCCTGATGTACCAAGGGCTTCTAGATGAAGCAAGCTGGAACACACGGCTGGCAAAGTTCTGGCACAAAAAGGCAGCGGTTCAGGCTGAGATTCCAAGAAGTTGGCATTGGTGCTGATACGCATGGTAATATAATGTAATATATCGAGCCTGGGTTCAACAGCTGCTGGGAAAGCGTGATCTGTAGGGGGAAATTATGAGGATTCTACTTGGTTGGATTGAAGGTTGAGCTGTCGTACCTGATGCGATGCAAGCAGCTTCCTGCAAGTTCTTTCTTGCATGTACTCCTTGTTAGACGTGAAGACACCAAACAGCTTAAGGAAAACTTGCACCAGAACTGCAAACCCGAACCCTATGTCCCAGGAAGCGATGGCCTCGAAAGGCAAGAAGTTTTAGGTTCTCAGAGGATCTCAGGGGGCCGCGGGCTGTAGGACGATCAGGGTTTTGCCAATGAAGACTGAGGGTTTTGGCTTGAGGCACCAGAGTGCTCAGAACTTTGGCGTCTGATCCAAGAGTCTGTTCGCATTATCTTGACAGCGCTGGGTACTGGTTAAGCGAGCAGCGAGATGCGATGTGTTCACAGAGTACATGGTGCTAGAGACTGCCCGCAGCTGGCAGCACCAGGGTTTGGCGAGCCCGGAGAGCGATTCAGGCACTGAGTGGGTTCTTTTGTGTTGTGTGTGGCCAGCGCATGCGCCAGGGCTCTGAGGCAAAGCAGCAGGGCCATGTGTGACGCACTGTCGGCAACAACGTATGCAGTCTGCTGCAGCACTATGAGAGTCGGCAGAGATGCTCACAGCATTGTCTTCAACTATGGGCAAGGTGCGCTTCCGTGGGTGCAGAAACTGATTGCAGAAGACATGCAGGATCTGATGGAAGACCTGTTGGCATCCTTGTGCTGTGGACCACTGGAACACGTCCCACGCTGACTGGGAAGGCCTCAGCGGCAGGCGTGGGTGTCCCCTCTGACAGGACTTCCATTCTTGCCGCAATTCGCTTCAGAATGGTTGTCGATCGTTGACGACTTAATGCTCCTTTGGCGATCTGATGATGATCCCAGGCGAAGCTTTGCAAAAGCAGAACAGCAGATGAGGGCTCTGCTGCAAGCGCCTACACCCCCAGACCTGCGATGTAAGCTTAATCAACTCATTCTCAGCTGCTAAAAAGAAAGTGCCCGAAACTGCAGCTGGTAGGTTGAGTTTCAGATTCCAGATGTTGCTCTTCATCAAAGCAAGATGGAATCATCAAGTCGCCTGGGCTCAAGGACCTTTAGTAGTCCATTGCCGCACAGCCATGTTCCAGTTTGCGAATGTCGCGGCAGCCTAAGTTGGAAGTTCAGCCTGGCGAGCAATGTCGGGGGACTCCCCCAAGACCCCAGGCCCTCAACCCTTAACCTGAATGCTAGACTTTGAACTCTGAACCCTGAATCCTATACCCTAAATCCAACACTCGGGAGCATGGCCGCGCAAAGGACTTGTTCAGCACCACTTAAGCTTTCGGTATTGGTTCCGTTGCTATGTTTCAGCTGTAGAAATGCTGGACGGGAAAGCCGAGCTTGGCCGCGCTACCTCCTTTAGCCATCCCCAATGACTATCGAAAGGACAGTAGCTTCTTTGAATATAGGGCGTTTGTTTTCCCAAGCCGTGGTTGACAACCCGAACTCTGGACCCAATCTCCTTCATATTCCCTGAGGGAGTACGAATGCACTACAAGACCACAAGAAGCCCCAAAAGATGGAGGGAGTAGCCTCTGGTAGTTTCCATCAGGAAGAGTCTCATGTTACTCTTCTTCACCCGCAGCCTCTCGTTGCCAACCACATCATCCTGGCATCGAGAGCTCAGTTATTCATCCTAGGGTCCTCGGTGCCAGACGCAAGCAACCGTGGAATCCCCGGTAACAGCAGCTCTCTGATGAAATGCTGGAGGGTCCCGGATGTCCCCGATTGTCCCCTTGCAATCCGCAAAGAGATTCCCTATCATCCGAAAAACGCAGGAATTCCATTGGCATCCCCTAAACTTACCTTAATTACCCCTTAATTCCGCTTGCAAGCCCTAAACCCTAAACTTGCGCCAAACCTGCGGGTCTTAGGCCAAGTTTATTTGTGGAAGAAGGGAGTCTGCCAGGGTCTTGGGCCGAAACCCCCAGGGCCTTTGGGGCAAAAAAAGCACGAAACGCGAGAAATCTTTCAGCGGAGCAGGTCAGCTCAGACCCCCAGAAAAATGTAGTCGGGATACTCTCCCCGTTCTCCTCCCTGTTTTAGAGATGTGTGGGAGAAGAAGAGGGTTTTGATATGCTTTGATCCTGAAACGAAACCTGAATCCTAGACCCTAAAACCTAACACTCAGGCGACTCAAGAAGATGTGTCCGAACAGGCAGGGCAGCAACAAGCGCAGCCCACCACCGAGGAAAAGCCGTACCTATTATACCTTTATTAGGCTGCGTTCACCCTCATGATCGGCTTTCATGCAATCGCCCGCCAGGAGACCTAACAGTCAAGTGGCTCAGGAAGACGAGGCTCCCGAAGAGGCAGGGCGCATGCAGGGTGCAAATGATGATCCTGGTTTCCTCTTGCAATGGCCTGAATCCCATTCGACCCTAAAACCTAACACTCAGGCAGATCCTGGCGCCAAGGAGATCGTCAGCTGTACTCGTAGCAGTGCTATTACTGGTAGCATACTCGTAAAAAGGTGATAGTGGGAGTAAGAGTACTAGTAAATCGGAATAAAGGCTAGTTAGTAGGGTGGTTGTGCAGGTTTAGCCCTTAGGGGGTAGCATTCAGGGTCAGGTTAAGTGTGCACCAGTTTCAGCACCCCTTTGAGCACGTTGGGACGTACTCATTTTATGGGTGCATTTTCAAAATTATGGTCTTTTCTGACGTCTCCATATAATGCGGCCCCGAATTTGAGGATACCATAGGATACCCAAAAAGGGATTACCAACCCCTCATATAAACACGAATGACTGTGCCCGTCAGTTTGTGTGGCTTCCGAAGCTAAGTGGCATGCTCTTTTCCTCCACTTCCATCCTCCTTGTGTTAGGCATGCTAGGCTATGTACCCCTGGTCGGGTTATCTCACATCGGCTGGGTATTTTACACATCGAGCAGCGTTCAAAAGCATGCACTTGAGTAGAGGTCGTGCAAAAGCAATTCTCGCAGTTGTGCTGTTTCCACAGCGTCCACAGGGTTTCAGCTCATGATGCGGCATGTTTGTATGGCGTCATTGTATCTGTTGAGCAGCGTCTACACTGGGGAACTTTTCAAAAACACTTACTAGAATAGATGTCACGTATGTTGCATGCTGTGTTTCACTCCTGGAAATACTGGATATGACACATTGCCGCAGTGATCTTCTTCATCATGCGCCTGGTGATGCGAATGAGGATCAGCGAGGAGCAGGAGCTGCCTCCCGCTCCGCCGGAGCGAGGCTGCTTTTGGGATGCTAAACCCACCAAAGCCTGAAACCGTCAGCAACCTCTAAACCCCTAACCTCTAAGCCGCCAAACCCCTGAAACCGTCCCAGCAGGCGCAATCCCGCCCGCCAAAGTATCCTCGCATCGAAGACCTCCAGAGGGAGGTTGGGGTTCATGGTTTGAGGCTCTAAGTGTTTAGGGTTAAGATGTTCAGAGTTTAGGGTTTAGGGCTTTTCGGTTCAGAGGTCAGGGTTTCAGTCTCTAGGTGTTTAGGGTTTAGGATTTTGGGTTTAGGGTTTGGGCTTTGGTGTTTCGAACTGAGGGTTTTAGGTTTTAGGCTTTAGGTATTTACGATTTTGGGTTTAGGGTTTAGGCTTTAGGTTGTTAGGGTTTACGCTTCAGGGTTCACGGTTCAGGATTTATGGTTGCGGACCGGCCTAGGGTGCAGGGTTTTCAGTGAGGGTATTCTCTTTTACCCAACCCCGGAAAGCAACCGCTGGGTCAAGGACCCATAGTACATGATATCCCTAGAAGCCAATCTTTAACCTAGTTTCCATCTCATGTTCCGTCTTTTTTCGACGTGATTCTCCAAGACCGTTTGTATCCGTTTGTATCTGAAATCCATATATCCCAGGACATGCCGGGTAACCATTTAGGCCCGAACCTAAAACAGGCTAAGCCCTAAGCCCAGGCCGTAAGGAAGATAGATCATCCTGAAGACCCAGAGACAAAGCATGTAGCCAAAACAATACACCTCAAACTCCAAACCCCCCGAGGTTTGGTTTAGGGTTTAGGGTTTCAGGTTTAGGTATGTCAGACTTAACGATTGAAGCGTTAGCACTGGAGCCTAGAACCCTGAGTCCTCAAAGCTAGGGTCCTGACTCCCCAAACACCCATCTGGCCAGGCGCATGCCGCATCGATTTGGTTTAATCTCACAAAACAGGTGCCGGGGAGTTGGTTCTTCATGTCGGGGCATGTAGTTATAGTCCCCTTTAAGAAGGTAGAATATGGGGTATATTCAGGTGTGCTCTTTGAATGTCGCTTCTGTTGATATTCAAAATCCTGCATGACCTAAATATGCTATAGTACCATAGGTATCCTTAGACGACGCTCCTGGGCGTGTACTGATCCATCGTCCGGCGAGTGTTCCACTGATCAGACCCACCAAGAACATTCCCGTGAGTCGGCTACACCAAGTATTTTTTTCCGTGTATGCTGCTGGAGTCTAGGGCAGAAATGATATAAAGTACCGGGTGGGATGTAGGCAGTGGGACTCTCTCCAATTTACTGCAATGGCAATGCCTGCCTAGAATCTGAGCTGCCTTTGCATTTCAAACTTAAAGCGAGCTGCTGCCTGACGAAACAATATCATGATGGTGCTCTTCTTGCCGCCGCCACATCACACCGTGTGACGGAGATACATGATTGTCGTTGTTGCTGCCTGGGGTGAAGGTCCTATTCTTTAGACTGACATACATGCACAAATTACATGACATGCCTCGTGCTACAGAGAGCCAAATGGCCGATGAGTCCTTTCCAAATGCTTATATTCAGGTGCAGCATGCTTGGCATGACTCGCACTCTGGCATTTGCGCATGAAACGCCTATATGCCAAGCAGGGCAGCTTTTTTTGGCACATCTTCTCGATCCCCGCGGCAGGCAGCAAGCCTCAGACGGTCGAGGCTGGCTTGGGCTTGGTGGGACAGGATTTGATTTGAGACCAAGTTCCATATACCTAGTATATGACAGCAACACAATATGATTAAGATTGGCGGTGTCATTCACTTGGCCTGCAGGTCTTGAATCATAAGCTAGAGGAGGGGCTCCCAGTGCATCTTTGCCACGATAAGGATTTAGGGTTCAGCAGTTTAGGGATGAGAATCATGGCGAAAAACGCTTGCGTACGTCTAAAACCTTGCGATCTGTTCTTAGATTCTTGTGAACAAGGAACAAGGCCAGGCATATCGGTATCGCGGGGCTTGTGCGGGGCAAGGTTGGGCCTCGCTTGATGGCTCGTAAGCCACGCTCTCACCAATTATCTGTTGGGAGGTATGATCAGCCAGTCTCTGAATGGCGAGCATCTGCTTTCCATAAGGGGCATGCTCCCCCGAACCGAACTTCTACAAAGCATGGCCCCAAGCCAGGAACCCAAAATCTACAAAATCCTAGCCCAGAGCCGCTCCGAAGCTTCCCAGGGGTTGACTGAGCCTTCTGCAGCAGAATGCAAGTGAAGGGGACGAGAACCTGCAGCGAGCAAAAGCCTTTCGTCATGCGACCACGGATTGCAGGGATAAGGTCATGTCTGAAGGGTTGCCCACGACAGTATGGGGAGGTTGGGCATGGAAGGTGGCTGAGCGGGTTTCTGTGGCAAAGAGCCGGGGCAACTTGATGGGCTGTCAGCTTGTGCAGCGAGGACAATGCTGCAGCACGGTATTTGCACGATGGAGCAAGCTTCTCATTTACGCTTGACGTGCCGTCCTCGTGGCTCGAGGAGTTGAGTAAAGACACATGGAGCCGCGTGCAGCTAACAATGTTTCATGCAATTTTGCATGACATGTCATGTGCGCTATGTTCGTCTGGAGAACCTTCAAAAAAGGCAGCAGCCGGAACAATCACATCTCTCGCAAATGGCGTGATGAGTGGTATTCAAGGAAAGCACCATCATGCTCTTGCTTCATGCCAGCCTCCCCAACACCTAGCAGTTGAAGCAGAACCTCAGCTGTCCGTTATGGTTGAGCTGTCGGCCGTCAAGGAGCAAGCTTCTGTCATTCTGAACAAATATGACCATTATCCCTAGAAGGCCCTATTTTCTTCATCAATGGACAAGTCATGTGTGGAAGACAGCTATTACGAGCCCCAAGCAGGAGCGCGCGCAATCCGAGGTGCTTGATTCACGTGCAAGCAGCTACTCTTCCGCACATGCAGTAGCGCAGAAAAGTGCAAGAGTGTATATAGGCTTGCATTCCGTTGCATCTGCAGTCGGGGGCCGTTTGTGCACACATCCTGATCTCTTCCTTTGTGTCTGCTTCCGTGAGGCACTCCGACCATGGACTTCACGTGAGCTGCAAACAAAGAGTGTTTAGTACATGATGTTTGCGTGCGTGCCGTTACATGATGTTGTGTTTTGTGCTGCAGAATTTCCCACTTTTTCATCATACATTCGCACGCGATGCTGCCTGTCCACGCGACCTCTTGACAAAGGTTTGAGTGCATTGCTGACCTCGTGTTCGCTTACCATGGCCTGAAGCTTCATGTTTTGGCTCTGGGTGAAGATTGGAGGGTTCGTCGCAGCCTGAATCTCTTCAGTTTGTACTGTTGATTTTTGGTTTCCTCAAGTATCCATCTACTATTCGCACAACCTTTGGCAGATGCACAGGCGCAAGGCGCCCTAATTTGAGCCCCCACCCGTTTCTTGGACCCAAACTCTGGGCCTTTTTTATTGGGCTGCAGGGTTTTTGGCAGTCTGTGGAATTTAAACACGGACCTCAATCCAACCTCTGGATGACGCCCATCTTCAAAGGGTGGTAGGACAAGACATTGAAGAGGCTTCTGTGGCCCAGCTGTTGATGCCACAGCCATGAGATACGCGTTGCTTTTATTCCTGGACTACCTACAGAAAGGCAGGCCCAGTGTCCATGTCATCAAGCATCCAAAGGTGTGCAGAAGAGCTTTCTCAGAGCGAGCTGAGGGTGTTGGGTTGAAGATTCATGGTTTCAAAGGGCATGGTACCCTAACCCTAAACCTGGCAGGTGCGGGGTCATATCGGCTCCTGCCCAAGCTCTGTCCTGAGTGCTTGGCGGAGCCTTTGGAGACCGACTACTTTGGAGGTAACGCGGCAGCACCCTGCTAGGGATAAGCCGAGACCCGTTGCGAAGTGGCACCAGGCCCCATGTACTGTTCCTGTGATCTCGGACAAACTCTTAGCCTTCAGAATCCAAGTATCTATGTAAAACACCTGAGCCAAGCTTCATTTCCTTGTGTCACAAAGGGAATGGTCTAGGCAGATTAGGTAGGTTTGGGACGGGGTGGAAGCCTTTGGCTAGAACCTACATTATGGGACAAAGGCAAAGGTTTTTCGATTTTGATAGTGCTCTTCGTTCGGTTTTGCTACCAGCATCTCACCTCTTTCTCTTTGGAGAGTGGCTGCATTTTTGCAGGCTTGATCTCTGTCGTAGCTTGGCCAGTCCTAGCTCCAGGGTCAAATAAGGTTGATGTGGGCTCGGGCTTCTTAGCTTGGAAGGGCTTGGGGCGATTCAAGGCTGTCTAGGGTCCGGAGACTGTTTGGCTACGGAAGATTTGTGCTGAAGACGGGAGATTTGAGGGAAGCCTCAGGTTGTAACTCGCAGTCCCTTATGGTTGCCATGCGTTGCCATTCTACATTACATTTGTCTTCCACAACAGACCTATTCAGCGTAAGCCGAGCCTCGCACAGGGGCCCCTGGTGGAGCCCCTCCCCGGCTTCGCGCGCCGACCCCGGAGGCCTTTGAGGCAGCGGCCCGCTCCGGAAAGGCACCTTGCCATCCGTCACTCTTTGTCCCTCTCCATGTGGTTACGTATGAAGTGTATGTATTGGTAGTGTGATGTAGTGTGCAGTTAAGGGCAGACTTGATGTGATAATGTCTGCACAGACTTAAGAAAGCTAAACCTGCGCTGTTCCGGGCTACAGAAAGAAAAAAGGTGCTGATCTTGGAGGATGCTTCCGCTGGAGCTGCTCTGGAAGGTTGGACATGTGAGCGTCTTGCCAAGGAGAGCTTCCAAGACACGTCTCCTTGCTCTACTGGAACTAGTCCCATCGAATGATTGAATCTTCACGTAAAGATACTGGTGCTTTATTTGGGATTATGATTTGGGGAACGACTGATTTCAAGGAAAGCTGTCGGCAGGAGTTTCCGGAGGCCAAGATGCGCCGCGAGTACGACTGGGTCAAAAATCCAAAGGATCGCAATGTCCAGGAGATGGGAAGCGTGGCCTGGGCTTCTTCTCTTGAGCGTGGTGAAGATGCAGACGAACGACAGCGGCAGGACCCGGAGTCGCCTCCTTTTGCACCTTTTTACTGGGGTGTGAGGGAGCACGGAAAGGGTGACCTGGGGTCGAAGAAAGTAGTGAAGAGGATCCGTGAGCTCATTAGGCAGTCGATCCCAGCTTTTATGGACCAGCGCAATGCAGACTCTCTCTTCAACAACGCCGAATTCTGGCTCGGTGCAAAGGGCACAGGCGCACGCGCCCATATGGATTCACACTGCATAAGCACTCTGAGCGTCGTTCTCCACGGGGAGCGCCGCTGGCGCATCGGACCGGTGCCACGCCTGCCCAAAGGTGCAGGCAGGTCGCCGGACGACGAGGTCGTCTTTGATGACGGCGTGGCTTACAAACTTGGATGGACACCAATGTTTGAGTTCACGGTAAAGGAAGGCGAGGCCGTCCTTTTCCCTCCAGGCTGGATCCATGAGACGCTGAACACTGCCGATGATTGCACTGTCGCGCTAACCACACAATTCGACCTTCCCATGCCTGTGCGGTACTACCGATCTTTCTACAACCGTCTCCGACGCGTCGGCGATCTTTATGCCTGCTGGCGCGACATGCTGAGCTGGGCAGGCGCAAAGGTCCCTAAGCTGAGCGATGCCAAATCCCTGGCTGGAAAGGCGTATGCCGAGATCAAGAAGAACAATCGAGTCCTCAAACCCAGAGAACTGGATTTCTTCGATTTGGACGAGGATGGGAATGTCACGGAGGAGGAGTACGTTCAAACTTTCACTGCCTGGACAGCCACAGAGTTGGCAATCAGAAAGGAGAAGCGAAAGCAACTCCCGAAATGCGACATGAACTGGGACGACAAGGTCCGGTGGATGAGTTTAAAGAATAGCAGAAGTTTTGTGCAATTGGATTTGGCCTTGTTTGTGCCTTGTTCTGCAAATTGCCCTGCATTTACTGGAGGTGCTTCACAATCTCGAGGAGCTTTAGGCATCGCTGAGCTTGAAGCTGGCTGCGCTTCTGCTTCCTGAAAACTCTTGAAAAGGAATGTTGCGGGTGTTCAGAATGCAGGTCCTGGTCATTTGCTCTGCCACGCATCCATTGAGTTTGAGCTCTGGTTGGAGGGAATGAGAATCACAGGGCACGCGTTCAAGATCAGATAGCTTTGGTTCAAGGGCATCAAGCTAAGTCACTGCCTCAAGGCGACGCTGTCGGTCAAGACCACGACTAGGAACAAAGCTGGCGCATGCCACCCTGCTAAGCCGGCGCACGGCCAGTTAGCAATATTGCCATACACAGCTGCAACACTCGACCCTAGCTCCCCAGCTTTCACTCCGCTTTCTTGAACGTGGCTGCCGCAATGGGCGTTGCTGGGCTGCAGAGAGGCGTCTGTGAAGCCTAACGGGCGGCACATAGAAGGTGTTAGGCACAGGAGATAGGCATCCCTAAAAAGGCCATCATCATCAGAACTGGTTTGAAATGAGGATTGGGCCGCGTATGCAGCAGCGCTTCAGGCACTTGCGCTGGCCTTAGTTGCCTTAGTACATGCCACATGCCATGAAAGTAGCTCCTCCTACCTGTCAATGAGCCCAAGACAGCCCAAGCATGATGAACCAGGCCCCTCAGTAGAGAGTTCGCTCAGTCCAGGGAGTGGCAGCGCCTGCAGCAGCAACGGGGCTGCCTGCAGCGTTGCCGGCTATGGCAGCAGCCTTTGCTTGTGTCAGGATATGTCCGGATGCTAGTCTGGCCAACTTTGCTGAGTGGAGCTTCTGGCACAGCTCAGCTTGCAGCGGAAAGGAAGGAGACCAGAGAAAGCTGAGCTTAGCTGATCGATCCTTTCCCCCAAGGCGGCAGTGCCATCGGCCCAGCCGGCAGCATGTGCAGCTCGTCAAAAGAGAGCAGCGTCAACAAGTTGAGCTGGCTGTGTGCAATCCTTTTTTTGGGGCACACCTGCATATCTAAGTTTTTGCTACTAGTTGAGTTATGTCCGGAGAGATACGCTCGGCTAAGCGAGAGAGAGCAAGGCTAGCTCAGGGCATCTTGTTGTTGCAAGGCGGGGTTGCCAGCCGCCGCGCCTTTGGCAGCGAGGGTCTCAGGAGATTCCAACTTGACGTCAGAGAGTCTGTGGCATTGATGTGCTGGATCCTCGATTCGAAGTCAGGTTGGGGTGCCGTCGTCGCTGCCATGCGCAGTGCCCTTCGCGCAGCCGGCAGCGCCACCCCCGGCCTATGCCTCAGAAAGATGCTTGCGGTCCCAAGCGCCTGTGTCACATGTCCGGCGCAACAACTAGGGCGGTGTAAGGGTCAGTGGGTTACCTTTTGCAGGCGCAAGCAGCGACCGACGCTGCAGCAATTGCCGCAGCCTGCGCCCCAGCAGTCAAGGGTCTGTTTGAGAGCTGACCAAAGCAGATTGCGTCCTGTGACGGCAGGCTCTGGCTTTTCTGCAGCCGCAAGCAGCCCCCACTGCTGCAGGCTTTGCCCAAGGAGGACCTCATGTCGCCGACCATGTTGATAGGACCATGACAGGAACCTACGGCGCAATGCGACCCGCCGGGCCTTCTGCCTGCTTGACACCGCATGCGCAGTGAGTGCTGAGAGCTCACATGGCATTACACAAGGCGCTCCACGCAGCAGCGCCGGCACCGTATGCTCGGGTGCGCCTGCACAGCAAACTTTGCAGAAACTTTGGCAATGGCAACTGTAGAAGCTAGTACATTTGGTCCGAAGGCTCCGGCTCCTGCGGCACCCCCTGCTCTGTGCTCATATGACTGTTAACTCTGCTTAGCGTAAGCTCAGTCAGCCAAGGCCCAACCTGCAGTGGCCACGCCCAGCATACAAGGTCGGGCCTAGGGTTTGGGGTTGTGGGTTGGGAATCTGAGATTTAGGGTACTCCAGGTCCAATGCAAAAGGGTAGAATGTAAGGTTTTTTTGCAGGGTTTAGTTTGCTGATTGTTTTGCTCCTTTGTTGGGCAGGCCTGGATCCGACTACGCTGGCTGCGATCACTGCCGCACTTGGCCTTGGGGGGCCGCAGACACAGACACCCGCTGCAAGCAGTGTGAGGAGCTGAGGACGGGTGGTTGCAATTGTCAGCAACGCTTCAACAAAGCTATTTGGGTGGTTGTCAAAATTATGGTCCCTTTGTGGGTACCTAAACATTAAGTGCCGTATTATAATAGGCCAAAAAGGGACCATAATTGTGACAACCATCCATGTACTGAATCCACTGCCAGCCTTGGCAAAAGGTACTGCCCGCGTTGAGCAACCTGCCTGGGCTCCAGGGCTTGGATCTGGGAAGTCTCACAGGCATCCGCTTCTGACAAATTCCCAGCTGCATTTCTGTGCAGAATGATTCCCGAAAGGACTGGCCAACATCCCTGGTTTGGGGCCGGCTGGGCCAGGTCCTTAATCAAAAAGAGGCACAGCACTGATGTTCAGCACGAGGTCTATACAGTGTGCATTGGGGTACCTGCGCGCAGCCTCAGAGCCCGCAGGGTTGAGCCGTCCCGCTCCTGATCTTTGCTGAATCTGGTCGCCATGGCCCGTGCTCGCGCTCTTCCTGTACTCCTGGCTGGCGTACTCTGCGCATTGGTGCTCCGCTGCTGGAGTCCGGCTGCATTCGTCGCCCCGCAGGGCCAGCGGACGGTCCATGTAGGCTGCCAGTCTCTGTCAGGTGCCTCTCTGGCCTCTGGCAATCTCCCAGCAATTCTCAAAAGGGTGCCAGCACGCCCTGGCGTGCCTGCTCACTTCAAGGTGACCATGCAAACTCCCGATGGCTCGCGGACTTTCGAGTGCCCAGAGGATGAGTACATTCTGGATCAGGCTGAGGAAGACGGCTTGGAATTGCCCTACTCCTGTCGCGCAGGCTCCTGTTCCAGCTGTGCTGGTAAGGTCTTGGAGGGCACCATCGACCAGAGTGACCAGGCTTTCTTGGATGATGATCAGATGGACCAGGGCTTTTGCCTCACCTGCGTGACCTACGCCACGTCAGATGTTGTCATTAAGACCCACTGTGAGGATGAGCTCTGAGCACCAAGTGTGTATAGTAAAGCAATGTCGCTAGCATGACTTGTAAAGAAGACGCCTTTGGCGTCTTGGTGCAGAGAGATTGGGGGTTCCATAAACATAGATCCGAATCTACTATAGTCCTTGTGATGGAGACTCCTAAAAAGGACCCCCAATTCATGGAACCCCCCAGATTAATAACACTCTCGTGCCCCATTTTAATCAGCTTGCATCATAACCTACGACGGCCCAGAGTCTCACCCCAAAAGCAGCAGCCGATTGGGGCAGGCTGGGCGGGCAGAAACAAGAACACTTGGTTTCTGCGATGCTATAAAAGTGGGAAGCTGCGAGATGCTGCGAGTGTATGGCACATGCGCGAGATTGTCACATGCAAGTTTACTAGCTTTTTTGGTCAAGCTTGTCGGCTTGGCCTTTGCTTCAAACATGGACCTGGCACCTTGAGGGACAGTCCGATTGTGCAGCCAAGCTCACCTGTGCCGCATTCTTTTTGCAAGACATGGTGATCTAGATCAGTGAGACCCTACAATTGCAAACGACATGGCAAATCCAAGCGTGCAAGTTGTCAGAGTCATCACCACGCAGCCATGGCGCAAGCTGCAGCTGGCGATGGCGCAACGTCAGCGAAGTACTCTGAGACCATGTGCCCGGTGCTGCAACATGTGTCATTTGTGCAGTGAGGCGTGAGTTCACTCGTGCGAGAGCTTAGTGCGTTTGCAAGTTCGTCGGTCTGACAGGGCATGAAAACAGAGCTATTGTATCGGCCACGTAGCCAGGCAGAAGCAAATGGGAAGCAGCCTCGTGTACAAGCACGAGGATTTGACGTTGTCGAAGAGTGTGCGAATAGCCCTGCAAGAAACGAGCCTCCGCATGCTCCCGAATTCGTAGCGAGGATGGCATGAATTACGCCAAGTGCTTCGAACGGATCTACATTGGCTCGTGTCTTCAGACCGCGGCCGATGTTGACACGCCTCTTGGACATTTGAGAGCCTCTTGCTCCCGTGCAGGGCTAGGCCCCACTTCCTTGACCCCAACTGCCAAGCCGCCTGCAAAACATTCTATGCAATCTGCGGCGCTCTCGACAACGGGCTTTGAATTTGATCAGGACCAAATTAACCACTCTCAGGAACAAGACCGCTGATGCGGGAATGCCAGAGCTGCCAATGTTTGCCAACAACCAAGGCTGAAGAAAGAAGGTGTGGGCATTGTCTTTTGCTTGCAGGAAGACAAGGAGAGATGTTCAGCCGGCAATCCACGCATTTGCATGGACACCATGGCTGCTCATGAATGTCTTATTGTGTGGACGGCTCGCAAACTGAAAGGACATGGCCCACTTCAACATTGACCTTGCCCCGATACTTGCCCGGGCAAAAGAGGTGGATATCTTGCATGTGAGGCGATGGGAGTTAACATGCTAACAAGAGTTGCCACTAATTTAGATGCATGCGCCTGACCCACACATGCAGAGGCACCCAATCAAAGACTTCGATCCGCTATCCCTTCGGAAGCAACTTCGCAAGCAGCTGGCGGTTGTTGGCTTAAGGGCAGCTTTTAGAAAACGTGCAGTCATACGGTGTCAAAGGCATTGAAGATCTCAGGCATCTTCCAGATGCGGTTCGGCGGCTAAATGCGGAGATGCTGGCGAGACCGAAGGACCAGCAGAATCATCGTAGTTGGACCAAGTACCAGTGCATCAAAGTCAATTTGGCGGAGGACGCTGCCTACATACACTGCACGGCCGGTCTAGGCAGAGCCCCAGCAACTGCCTTGGCTTACATGCGGCCTGGCCAGAGGGTGGAGACCGCTTCATATTGGCTTGAGGTTCAGACGCTTTTTGCAGTTTGTCTTGCATAGAAGGCACGTCCTTACCCTGGAGGGGCCCCATGAGTGTGTCTTGCAACCTCTCAAACCACACGCTTGCTTCGCTGCTTTGACTGAGCAGCTAAAAATGCCACGGGTTACCATGCCGCCTGGTTCGCCTAGGTGTGTCTCCTGCTGCAGCTCAAGCTGAGGTAAGTTTATTGTTTTATATTTCGTGTCATGCTGCAAAGGTTTTGCCTTCTGCCTGAAGGCTAAGGCTTCACTCGACGCAGAGCTAGTGCTTCAGAAGGTGGAAAGCCCACATGCATAATCTCAAGCAAGGATGCGCGTGCTCCTACTTCCGACACCTATAACAGGAAGGTTTTCATAACCTACATTGGGTTGCGGCTTCAAGCGCCCTCCCACAGGGCTAACAAGCATGCGCAGAGGTTCATGATCGAGGGCATGGACCTTGATGACGCGTATGCGCACCTGCAGCTTGGCTATGCTTCAGCTGGCTTGTGGTGGCAATCTGTTATTTCTCTATGACAATTATGATTAATATCATTGTCACCATTATCTGTATTAATGTTCCTACTCTTGTTACTATTTCATTGCTGCTACTTCTTATTCCTACTACCTCTATTAGTCAGGCGCCCAGCAGGCTTTTTCCTTGGCAAGGTACAAGAGTAGAAGATGTCATCCTCAGCTGAACATGGTACGCGCGGCAGCTTGCGACGCGGCCTCAGTTCAATGTTGCGGTGTGGGGTGTATTATAGTCCATTTTAATATGTTATGGTATTGTATAGTATATTATAGTCCACCAAAAAATGCGGATGTCTCCTTGTCTTGGCCAAACAGTTTAGCCAAGACACCGTGATGCATTCATAGATCCTTTGCCGTTGATATGGAACACACCCTGCTTCTGATATTTGCGCAGAGTCACACGAAACATTTTGCTTAATACCTTCTCACAACCCTAAACGGTTGCTAAACATCTGTGGAGAAGCCTCCACGCAAACCCAAACTTCATGTACTGATACAATTTCTGAAAGCTTGACTGGAAACAGAGCCCCGCATGCTCCCTACAAGATCCCAATACAGGACTAGCAGTCCGTAACGCTCTGAGCAAAAGCACGTGGTAATGTTTCATACTTTCATCTATACGAAAAATCCCGCGTGCCCTTCGTGTACTAACCTCCGATGATAACTCCCAGAACCTATATAGCCCTTACGGAACCCTACATAGAGCCATTAGATACTTAGGGTTCCTGTGCGTGGCAAGGACCTTCTCGGCGGTGGCCTTGGTTCCGGGAAACTGAAGCTCTCCTGGACACTTCCAGAGGCAGCAAGCCATGGTACAAGTAGTGCGGGAAGATTGTCTCACACGTACATGTGGAGACAGATGTAAACATATATGTTGTGTACACATGTATCGGACTCGGGTCTGTCTGTATTTCTTAACCCATCTAATATGCAAATCTGCCGAACGTTCGGCCGACAGTGCGGGGATAAAGCAGGCCCAGGACTATGTTTTGGAATGCCTGGAGTTTCTCAAGATTAAATTTTGGGTCCCACTAGCAGCATCCTTGCACTTGGTAATAGTTTCAGAGCACTACTTTGCCATGACTACTTGCGGGGTGCGCAGTTCGGATTTGTGGTCATACGAGCCTTTGTGATCTTGGTCTGGCCAGGGTGGACAGCGTTGCTTGTTGCACTTGACTCTACATCCGTATTTCATGACAGGATCCGGTTCCCTTTCGTTGCAACACATCTTTTTTAGTAATTATAGCTGCAGGGTCTGTACAGGGCCTTCACGGATATTACCTCCCTTAACCCTAAACTTAGCCCAGCACGGTATTCGACTAGTGGAAAAAGACCCTACATCTTATTCCCTCCCTAAATCCAATTCCCTCCCTAAACCCTAAACGCCATTCCCTCTCTATGCCCCAAATATCCCTAAATCCTGTTCCATCCCTAAACCCTTAAGCCTAAACATGGGACTACGGGCTGTGGAGAAAGGGTCCGACAATAAAAACCTGAAACCCCAAACCATAAACCCTTAGCCTTAACCCTAAACCCTACACCCTAAACCGAATTTGACAGCTGGAAACTGAACTGGAAGAGGCCTTGTGCCTGACTGAAGCCGCCTGTGCTCCTGAAGTCCAACTGAGGGGGTGTGGTAGTCTGGATCAGGTGGTGAAGTTGGCCTGCAGTTGTCTGGGTAAGCCTGGTCTGTCTGCAGTTGCTGGTTGAGTCCTGCTCTGGAAGGTAGTGTAGAGTTGCTGACCTGGACGTTTGCAGCCGTGCTTGCTTCTGCGATGCGCGTGTCTAAACCCTAAACCGCTTGCTTCTGCGATGCGCGTGTCTAAACCCTAAACCCTATGCTGTATGGCCATGCAAGCGGCAAAACCCTAAACCCTAAGCCCAGCGAGGCGAAGTGCGTGGAGGTAGCTGGCCTGGACATCGGTTGGCACGAGCGCGTGCCTATGGCACCGCCCTCAGGGCCCAGGGCCACTGAACATGGGATTGAAGAGGGATGGAATTGGGGGTACACAGGGATACAGAGGGATATTTCGGGTTTTTTGGGACGTATTGGGGTATAGAATTATAATGGAGTATAGGGTACAAAGGGTTTATGGGGACGTATAGGGGTGTGACGGAAAAGAACATGGAAGCTACTATGCTATTGGGGATAATGTATGCGTAGCTGCAGCATGTGACTGGCGGAGATGTAGCCACATAGTCATAGAGCCGGCATGAGCCGGCAAATTTGGACGAAGACACGCATTCAAGATATGTCCAAACAAAGCATTTGGTCCATATGGCTTTTTTTAGTTTCCAGAGCTAGGTTTGGACAGGGCTGGCCTCCAATCGCAGGGCCATCAGGTGCAGTTTCTCTTAGTTGTCGCGCAGGTGAAAAATGCAACCACGGGTGAGTTTGTCCTGGAGCGGGACACTCCACCAGGTGTTTACCAATACAAGTTCATTGTGGATGGCAAGTGGACTCTGGTCAGCACTATGGTTCAGTGCATGGCGTGGGCTAACCCCTGTAGCACGATGCGATACGATGCGTGGTGTGTGGGTTTCAGGATGGCGAATCCAGACCTGCCATCTGTGACGGACAATGGAACCTGGGCAGCGGTTTTGCAGAGAAAGTCCAGCCTTTTCGTGGTCCTAGCCATCGTGCAAGCGTAGACAGTTGTCAGCATTTATACTTGATTGCCTCAACTGTTGCTCGGAACATTGCGTTCGTCTGCTAGCTGACTCCCTAATGATTGGGCGAGAGTTCAGACCACGAAGAATTGTAGTTGGGCTGTGTATGTTTCAAATCGTCGCCTATACCATTTCAGATGCGTAGTATTAGGCTCGATTTGCGTCGGTCCTGGACAGGCAACGTCAACAACGTGGCGCGGGTGAACCCTGCGCCCGGCAGTGCTGACTCTGAGCGTCGCGAGCGGATGATGAAGAAAGGTGGCCGGCCCACCGAGGAGGAGCCGAATCGTGAACTTCAGAACCATCGACTGATAGCGAACAGTAATGTCGGTTGTTATTTGCTGCATTCTCAACTGCATGCGGAACAGGAGTGGAAGCAGCTGCAGAGCATGCTTGCTGTGCCGGCGGCGCCTGAGAGCAGTCAGAAAAGTGGATACGCCGGCTGAAATGTTGGCTTTTCCGATAGCCGGAAACAAAAGAAACAAGGGAGTGCAAAAGCTGAAAGTGAAGACCTCCCGGGGTGCAGTTGTGAGTCCAGCTGTTCCTGACGTCTAAGTCTGAGGCCGGAGCTGCGGCCACCAAGGACTGTGCTCTATGCAAGTACTGCAAATGTTCAGCACTCTGGCACGGCCTGTGAGCAGCTGCGAGCTTCCGAACTCGGTGCAAAATTTGTTCATCGAGTTGTTGGAAGACTAAGTAGCGAAATCAGGAATCCTCCTGGAGTCATCGGCCGAAGGCCCAAAGCTAAGGCCACAAGCAATGCCAAGGGCTCAGAAGCACTTGGAGTTGCTCCTGCGCTTATAGACTTTGGGGTGGTATGGCTCAGGTGCCGATACCTCGACTCACAGATGAGGACCACTGTCAATGGGCTGGGCAAAACATTGCAAGGTGAGACATCGCTAAGCTACAAGTTTAGCACTACAAAAAAATTGGGGTTCCTCATTTCATATAAAGGGGAGCTATCAACATCCTACTGGGGGATTACAAAGCCACCAAGGAACTTCCAATTCTGGACAGGAGGTGGCCAATCCTGCAGCTTTGCTGGAGGCACCGCACTCACCACCTGCCATGCAGTACAATTACGTGGAGCACCGCTGCAATTCCTTCTGAGATCTGTTGAGTTGGTGATGCTTGCCAAGGCTACTGAGACCCGCAACGAGGGCAGATGTCGTGCACTCGCGCGGGACCAAGATAGATCGAGCTTGAAGAGCTTGCGTAAGGCTATGCTCTAAGAGATTGGTGGTTCGAAGAATGGTGCGGCAATTTGCATCAGCCAGGATCATGCGACCGAAGTCAGAATGGCACGCATGGCATGAGGATTTGGTTTGTACCGTGGATGTATACCCCACAGTAGTGAACGGAATGTCAAAATGAAGCAGTTCCAAGATGCAATCTCTGCCGCAGCATGCGGGAGACGAGGGGGAAGGGCCAAGAACGACTGTTAGAACTGCCCACATCTTGTCGTGCACGCTTGCATGGAGCAGATCAGCCTGTATTGGGTGAAGCTTTCTCTGCCTGAGCATTGTGCGGACACCAGGTGCAGCATCCCAACTTCCGGCATATAAATGAAAAGCTGAAGGCCGCCTGGGGTAGTGACTTCGCACTCTCGATGGCAAGTTTTTTCACGAGAGTGTAAGACTGGTGAGAGCTTGCCACTTGGGGCGATGAGGACGGGCGAACTGCTCTGCACGTGGCTGCGAGCTGAGCATCCTGGCGATTGGGAATCTTCACCTTGAGACTTACGTAATAACAGAAAGTATACTTGCAGACCCGGGTGGTAGGCAACTACAGAGTAGAGAGCGCGGCCTTTGCAAGGCCATGCTACGAAAGCTGCCGGAGGATCTCTGCATGCGGGGACCCCAAATCCTGCAGCAGGTTACAACCGTCGCTGTTCAACCAGCACGTCCTGTCTGCGTCTGCGCGTCTGCAGACCTGTGGCGGGTTCTATCCTGTCCGCAAGCAAGGCTCCCAACGCATAAGCTGTCATTAGGTAGTTTGGAAGTTTCAGGTATCGGCTGACGAAGCACTACAGTAGATCCCAGCAGTATGGGGAGCTACTGCCGGACAAGACAACCTACAAATCTGCTCTGACCCATGTGCAGCCCAAACCTACACGTCAAGCAAAAGACATATGTGCATAAACCTCCAGGCAGCTTCAGCCTTTGTTGAGAGCTGCGCAGACACCTCTTCGCATACCTGCCGGGATTATCAATGGAGGGATATGATAGGTTGAGGAAGCAGTAGGATGGACAGATGTCACGGGAAATCACCACTTTCAGAATTTCATCCTCAGCAGCGGATAGCTCAGGTCAGCTTGGTCCAGCAGTTTAACCCTCACTTGCCTATATTGCGGCATTAGGCATCCAGAATCCGGGTTGTAGAGACTTATTACTCGGCGCGTTTGTATTTGGCACGTTTGCTCGGTTCTTGTCTGCTGGCAGCCATTGCCAGCGATGGCAGGTTTCTCCAGCCACGTTTAATGGCGCGTTTACACTTCTGGGTTGCTCCTTTGTCAGCTATGCGACATGCGAGTCACAGAGCCAGCTGCGGTTCTCAGGGCAATCGCCAAGCACAGGGACTTCAACGAGGCGAACGCCGTCGACACGAGCGGCGCCCAGAACAATACATTCATCACGCAGCACTGCTCTCTACAGCTTCTAAGAGTGCTGGGATCTCAGACTCACTGGTGGAGCGTTTGCCCTGAACTTGTGGCGCCCAGTTTTGGCTACACCTTGCTGATCTTGGCAGCTTCCAAAGGCATGTCGCAGGCAGGACAATTTCAAGGCTGTCCAGCTTGAGCACTCCTTGTACCTTCCCGTGTGCACAATTGCTGCTAGATAAATTTAATGTGGCGGGGAATGAACTCAAAATTAAGATTACCTGGAAGTTAGCTGCAGGATAATGCCCAGGAGATTGGCCAGATCTTCTCAACCTGCAGACACTACTTCACGATGTTAAGCGGAGTGCCGCGTATAGGCAAGCTCAAGCAGGCAAATTGCACCGTTTTCGGCCTCATCTTTCTGTCCCATTTCGTCAGCAGCGCCACGAGCGAGAATGAACAAATGAGTTCTGTGGCATCGCCTCTTCTCCTGGAACCTCATGTCCTTGCAGGCTATAGTAATTAGTCTTGGTCTAGCATGTCTTGTCTTGGAGTCCGCCCAGCATGCTCTTCAAAACGATGCGACGGTTCTTGCGAGAATCCCGGAGAACTATGCGCTCTGGGATTTCTTGGAGCTGTCTCGAGCTGCCGTTTGTTTCCAAGTCTGGGTTCAAAACTAGCACATACGGGTTTCAAGCTGCAGTCACCAAAGCTCCTATTGAGAGGGAGCTTCGCTCATGTACCCGAACGTAGAGTGCTGGGTAGTGCGGGGAATTGGGTAGTGCGGGGAATTAGGTGTCCTGAAATGGTTTGATTTCGGAGGCTAGATTTTTGGTGTGCAGTTCACTGACGTAGAGCAGGTGTGTCACGCTATTCTGGACCGCGATGACTTCGTGGGCTCGAGCCTCAGGATAAGGTTGAAAGAGCATGCCATTTGCCATGCCGATTTGGATCCCAGGCGTCAATGCCCAGGACAAGTGGGGCGCCACAGCGCTCCACTGGGCTGCGGACCAGGAAATTGTGATCTGCATGCTGTGTAACTTTAGAAGACTCTTAGGGCCACAGGCTGGGTCAGCGTTTGGAAGTCTGTTTTTCATTTATTTTGCATTTGCTATTCGTTTATTTAATGTTGCATTTTTCTTGCATTTGCTGTTTGCTTTTTTTTGTGTTTGCTGCCGTGCCTGAATTTAGCTTTGCATTTTTTGGGGCTGAGGCGGCCGATGCCCGGCCAAGTGCGAAAAAAGGCGGACCTAAATCCTGAGGACGACCAACACGCAAAAGAAAAGCAAGCCCGGAACGGCCGGGCCAGATGCAAAACAAATGCAAGCCTGGAAATAGAGGCCAGCCAAAACGCAAAAAAATACATGCAACACATGCTCCAACATGCAAAGCAATGCAAAAGTTTGCTGTGATTGCCAAAACCATACAACAATCTGGAGCATTGGCCGTTCCCTGGAGCATTTTTTTTTTAAATTGTTTTTGTTTGTGTGTTTTTTTTTAGTTGGTTTTGCACTGTTTTGTTTTTTTCTCGTTTTGGCTGGCCTCTACTTCCAGGCTTGCATTTGTTTTTGCATCTTGGCTGGCCGCCGCTTCCAGGCTTGCTTTTCTTTTGCGTGTTGGTCGTCCTCAGGATTTAGGTATGCCTTTTTTTGCACTTGGCCGGGCATCGGCCGCCTCAGCCCCAAACAATGCAAAGCTAAATTCAGGCACGGCAGCAAACACAAAAAACGCAAACAGCAAATGCAAGAATAGTGCAGCATAAAAAACAAACAGCACATGCAAAAAATGCAACCACCAGCAGAGCATACTGGCGTTGGTAACTATTTGGCATGGCCCAACCGTAGCCTGCTAAGATTCTTCTACGCGTAACTTTGGCATGTGGCAGTAAGACCGCCGGTCGCAAGGATCTGGCTAATGTGTGCGAGAAGATCTTGTCGCATCCAGAATTTGTTGAGGGCAACCGTCGAGCTGCTGCCTCAGAACTTGATATAATAGTAAAATAGTATAGTAGTAATGGTATAACAGTATTACTATCACTTAAGAGCCTCCGGCTCAGTCTGCCGACCCAGAGGCGGAGAAATCGCGAAGGCCTAAACCCTAAACTTTGAGG